CGCCTGTTAAGGCATGGCATGTGCCGCTGTTCACGGTCCGCTACCAGACCTTCATGGATGAGAACTGGGATCTGACCATGCAACGAGTACGTTCATACCTGCGCCTCTCGCTGCATCGCAGCCAGCTGAACTTCCCCTCCAGATCGTCCCCCACATCAATGGCGTCAATAGCGTTCGGGTTATTTCCATTCTTGCCGACACAGACTTCTCCCTAACCTGCCGCGCCATTCGTCACCTGCTCTACTACGGCTGCTTGTTCCTCCTCGACATCTTCTCCTTCTCAGCCATCTATGCCCCAACCGCCCAATTCAGCTCCACAATTGCCACGGACGAAGAAATGCAGCAGGAATGCGCCCGTTACGTCAACACCGTCTTTGCCTCTCCAATCACCGCTGCCTCGGCCGCCCTGACCCCGGGGTATCCCCCGCATTACGATCCCGACACCGTCTGGCCCCCAGTCGGTCAACCTCTCACAGCCAGTAGCGCCAGCGAGATCACGATATCCAGCCGCAGCCCTAGTCGAACCCCTAGCCCTAGTCCTAGCGCCGGCACCATCCAAGCCAGCAGCAGCAGAACCACGTCGCCGGCTCCAGGAACAGCCACCGACGACGACACCGCCACTACCACAGACACACATCCCACCGAGCCCCAACTCGTCGACGGCGTCGGCCTCGTGGAGCTCTACGCCAGTCTCAAGCAAGGCCAAAGCGTCAAACAATGGTACCTCCAACACAGTCGACAACTCGCCCACATCGACATCCGCCGCTTCATCACTTTCGGCGTCATCAAGGGCTTCATTTACCGTGTGCACAAGTACGCCATAGCAACAGGAAACCCAGCACCACCCATGAAATCCTCTCACTATCATCACCACAGCTCGCCCTCATTACATCCACCCAGCGGTCCATCGTCGCGGGGGCCCGGCACAGGCACGAATAGTCCGTACGCCACTAGTGCGGGAGACGACCCGGCTCCGATTGCACAGCACGATGGTGGGCCGAGTCATCACTCAACCTCAGTTTACAGTGGAAGTCGGCCGGCCACGATCGTGACTCTCGAAGGTGAGGAAGAGGAAGATGATATTGATGACAAAACGCTGTCGAAGTATCTCGATGGGATGCATTGTTTCGATCAGATCTGTACAGAGTTGGAGATCAGCGAGAGGGAGTTGACGGCGCGGTTGAAGAGGTTCCCGGGAGAGGTGCTCATATTGCATCGATAATTACTACCTCTACTCCTTTCTAGCTTGCTTTGTTTATGTTGATACCCGATTTGCTAAATTATTACTTACCAATATACATTAAATACACCTATTTCAGTAATATTCATTTCAAGTCACGTAGGAGAATTACAATAATGAAGTAGAGTGTTATTAATCCTCGTTACCTAATCTATATATAGAGAGACAAGTATCTTCCCAGCTGATACACTGAGTATATGTTACCTCACAAGTAAAACATCCCGATCATATCGATCCATCCATTCATTCATCCCTCCCCAACGCCATAACCCAAAGCTAAACCAAAAGGTAAAAATCCCCTACTCAATCATCGCTAAGATATCAACCAAAGAAGGAACCAGACAAAACAAACGCAATATGTACATCGAAACGAAAACCGGAATAAGCGGGCAGGAAGACATGCAAGCAAGCAAGCAAGCAAGGAATGGATGCATCGATCGATCATTCCTGTTCCTCATCCCAGCCCTCCACCTCGGCCTTCTCAACCTCCGCCATCAATGATGGTTCAAAGACTGACTCATTCTTCCCAGGAACACTAGTCTTACTATCCTTGAAGACCAGACCGATGCAATCGCGCCACCGCTTACGTCGATCCATAAGCGTGCGGGCAACATCACCAATCGCGGGACGGCCGACGCCTGCAGCACTGACGACATGGCTGCCGCCGCCGGCGCCACCGGGACGGTGTTTGGCCTGGGAGCCCTTTTTGCTTTTTCCGAGGGTGCGGGTGCGTTTCAGGTAGGCCTGTTGGACCTGGGAGTCCAGGTCGTCGTGGATGGTCATGTACTCCTGGTAGGCCATGCGTTCGCGGGCGATGTCGAGGAGACGGGTCTTGCGAGCGCTGTTGATGATCATTTGTTTTTTGAGCTCGCTTTGGAGGAGGCGGAGGCGTTGGGCGATGTCGTCGTCGTAGTGGGCGTCGTAGTCGGGGTTGTCGTCTGGGCCGAGGAAACCGACGTGGCGGAGTTCGGCTTTCAGGCGCTCGTCTAGCTGCGAGTGGTCGAGCTTGGCGGCGGGGACTTTGAAGTTGTTGGGGGAGGAGTCCGGGAAGGCGGTTGCGGAGGGGAGAGGTTTGGTTTCGTTGGAGGTCTCGCCGGTTGGGTGGTCAATGTCCATGGAGTCAGGGTTCATGGGGCCGTTCGCCATGTCGCCGTTGACGGAGCCGTTGGCGTTAGGGGCGGATTCATCGGGGAGAGCTCTATGCTCATAGCGGAGTAGTGAGTAGAGTCGGCTGACGAGAGGGCCGACGGAGACTTTGTCGGTTTCGACGGTCTCGTCGGTCACTTGGTCGATGTTTCCTCGGCCTTGGTTGAGCGGTAGCCGCTCTTTGTCGCCGTTGGGTTGGTCGACGTTCATGAGCCCGTCGTCCTCGGCCCATACTTCGGTGTAGTGTTTCTTTCCGCGTCGAGGCATGATGAAGGGGGTCGTGCGATCGCCCTGGGTGGGTGAGCGATGGGCCTTGGCGAGGTCGATTGGAGAGCTCACCTTCTCTTTAAGGAACGCTATGTCTTCTTCTGTCAAGGGTCGGACGTATGGATCGATATAGGCGAGGAATGTGTTGGCGTTGACTTGACTCGCGGGCTTGGAGCTGCTGAAATCGCGATCCGGAGGGGAACCTGCCATCAGATGGCTTAAATCACTCCAGGGGAAGCGGGCGACGCTGTAGATGGCCTTTTTCTCCTCATCGGTCATGTCTGGAGTAACCTCCCGGATGTGATATATGGTGGGGTCATCGAATTTGAGCGGGTTGGGACCGAACACTTGCACCTGTGGCACGGCCGGCGCGGGCTCAGGTTGGTGTGACTCGGAGCTATCGTCCGATCCGGGCGACCCTGCATCCTCGGCCGCTTCATCGGCAGCTGGTTGGGGAGATCTTCGCGATGTGGGGGATAGAGACGAGGCCTCTTCGGAAGCAGCATTCTTGGACTTTTTGGAAGCTGGGGATGCGGCTGCATGAATTAGCATAGGATCAAGGCGCATGATGAGTAGACTTGAGAAGCTACACTTCATCGCAAATACGGAGTGAAGGATAAACTCACCTCCTTCCACCTTCGTCTCAGCACCGTCTTGTCGCGCAACATCATGAGCACCGTGAGTCAGCGGACGTTCCTCCTTGGAACTGCTTCCGCGTTCCTTGCGCCTCTTTAGCTTGCCTCCCTTTAGTACCTTCTCTTCCTCCTCGTCATCGGCTTCTCGCTTCATCTTCACTCGATCGGTCCCTTCTCGCTCGGCTGACTCTTGATCTTCAACGACCTCCTTGCGCTTCTGTGATAGCTCTCTGATGCCGGCATTGCATGCGTCACCTCGTGTTTCGGCTAGCTGGCTCAGGGTCTTGAGGTGTTCCATCAACAACTCGAGTGACTTGGAATCGGGAATCGGGCCAACTCCACCCATGCGCTCGAGCAATTCTCCATACTGGATGGTCGAGCCGGTCATCATCAGCTTGGAGACATCGTTGTCGAGGTAGCTGTGGAGCGGGGCGGAGGCGGTCGGGCCGGCGCTGAAGCTGGAGTTCGGGGTAGTGTTGCGACTTCGGGATGGACGAGCCTCGCGGCCTTTGCCTTTGCCTTTGTTTGCGGAGGGCATATTTGAGGTGTGAGTTTTGGTGAAAAGCTGTTGGACAATATGCGATGCGCGGAGGGATTGGCAGTCTGATGTGGTCTGGAAGCGCGTGGACTAATAGCTCATAGTGTTCATGCTCGGATCGGGGGCCTGCGGTCAACGCGCTCACTCAAGCACGCAGATTCAGAGCTATCGTTCCTGTCTTTGCAGACAAGCTCAGCACCGTCTCAATTGAGTAGTAGTCTGATTGTTGTTGTTGATGGTGATGCTGGAGATGCTGATCTCGAGATGCCCGTCTCCACGTGAGAGGACATGTGATCTCACGTGGGAACCATATCACATGATTCAAATACAAAAGGTGCAAACGATGCATAGTAAACAAACTAATTAGAGGTGAAACGCTAAACCCAACTCGGATCCACCGACATGGAGAAGTGGAGGATCTACAAGGCATACATGCTAACCGTAGTTTACTCCATCGCACTGCAGTGATCGCCTCTACTCTTGACACAGCGAGGTAGTACAGACTACAGCTGGGCCCTTCCTTGACTTTTCACCATTGGCCGAACCAATCGTAATGTCATGGCCGGTTTGGGTAGGATGCTTGCATCTAAGCATCACCATCTATCTTCATTCTGGCTATTTTTAGACCTTCAAGAGTAACCCTGCTCGGTTCATGCCGCAAACGTCGCATTCACTGCAAACGGCATACAGACGACCCAGGATGGCCAGGACAGGCAAATTTGATCTGCGAAGAGCCAGCACACAAGCAGTACCACAGCAAACTGCAGATTTTTCTGCATGGTCGTGGCCTTGGTACAGGTGGCCGCCGCAATTATCCGCGACGGGCAGTCGAATGGACCTGACCTGTCAGCATTCTTCCCACAAGTCCCATAGACGAGATAATAGATTGCCTCTGTTCGCACACTCTCCCATTGCAGTAGGCATCGTGCGTCTGACGTCGACTCTCAACTTGATCGGATCGGAATGCGGATGACGATGCTCCCTGGACTTGGATTTTAAACTGCTGGATTCCTCTTGTCCACGGGTCTCGTGCTGGTCGCACGACCGTGTCACACCATGAGTATGCTCCCCTTGCTTCAGAGAATGCTGCACATTCCTTCGATCGTGCTGCCTGTTCATCCTTCCGTGGATGTCTCACTGTCCATATCTGAGCGATCGCTGATATGCCTCTTATCTAGCTGCCAAATCGCTCACCACGGTTGCGACGCTCTTTGCTGATCCGTCCAACACTACCATCGCTCTAAACGTGCGTCAGACACCATGAAAGTCGTGTACGAGAAGCTGACTGTGCCCTTTAGGAGAGTGCGATCTTTTCTCTCAAGCTTGACGATACCGTTCAGACCCTGTCGAAACAAAAAGCCCCGGACAAAGGCTCAATTCAGGGTCTTCTCTTTGTTCCCAGCCTCGGAACTCAAGATCCGTGCAACAATGCCACTGAACCGTATATCCCGGCCAATGTCACCCGCCTACAAGGCGTCACGCCGTTCGACGGCCGTGTGATCGGGCTGGCACCTTGGATAAGCGACGAATGTTCGCAGGCCTTTCTAGATGTCTCGCAGGGCACCGTGCCAGACGCGCTGCTCTTTTTTCTGCCATCTAACGATGACACAAAACCGCCATCGGCAAATGACCCGGCCTGGCAGCTGGGAGGCAGCACTAATTGGCAATCGCAGAGCAACTTCCCGGTGTACGGAATCCCCGGCGCGGCGGGTGCTACCTTGATGGAACAGCTGTCACGCGACGGGAGTGTGCCGAATCCCGATGACCCAGACAATCTAACTCCATTATCGTCGTTAGGAGCTTCTCGACTATTTGCGGTCATAGATATAGGTAGGCTTTGTTGTCACGGCGTTGAAGTAAGAAGCTGACATGCTCCGCAGATAGTGGCGGAAAGAAGATGCCCAGTATATGGGGGTTCATTCTCGCCATTCTGGGGACTGTTCTCGTCCTTACTATTATACTTCTTTTATTCTACCAGCTGGTGCACAGGCGGCACCAGCGGGAGCTCCAGCGCCGCCTGGAAGCCGGAGAAGCAGACCTGGAGCAATTAGCCCAGCTTCACATCAAGGTTCCACCAGAATTTTTGGAGACGATGCCCATTTACATCTACATGGGCGGTGGTGACGACGACGAATCGATCAATGAGAACTCCACGCCGGGGCATCTACCACGAATCACTGAACATGCTGCTGAAGACAAGGACCCTAAGACCCCCACCGTCGCAATTCGTGAGACGGACGATGAGGCGGAAAAAGCAATAGACGGCGAGTCCATCAGACGACCCTCTCAGGCGACAATAGCAGGTCAGCCAGACGCCTATGTGCAACACAAGAACCGACTCAGCCGACAGCAGACGACGTGCGCGATCTGCCTGGATGATTTTGAGCGGGATTTATCAGCAGTGCGCGAGCTGCCATGCGGACACATTTACCACCCACCGTGCATCGACACATCCCTAACGCAGAGCAGCAGTCTCTGTCCACTGTGCAAGAAAAGCGTGCTCCCAAGCAGCTGGTTCAGATTTCCACCGGAAGACCCATGGCTACAACCTCATTAGATAGACATTTCACAGCCCTAGACTTACATAACACTCATGATAGAATAGACTGTACATGACAAACAAACCCATCCATCTATAGAAAAATAGAGAGAAAAAAAATTAAGCAAACTTATCATGTTTCCCCCGGACTCTAACATCCAACACGGTCTCATGAAAATCACCCTCCTTCCTCGCCTTCCTCAACCTTTTCACTTCATCATCATCCAACCGTCTCCCCACAATGCCCTCCAGCTCCTTCCTCCCAATCTTCTCCCGCGCCTTGATCTCCTTACTCGCTTGAATGCGCGGTTTGAAGCGCGCCTGCATGCGCACCCGAATATTCGTCCCCCCGTCACCCTCCTCCCCATCATCGAGATTAGTCTCATCGCCACGAACCTCCACCTTCGTCCCAGAAGCGGTCGTCTTCGACGTAACAGTCCGCGCAACAATATACGTCTGCTTCTTCTTCTCCTTCTCCTTATCATCCACACCATCACGCCCCTGCGCAGCAGAAGACGAGGAAGCCCCCGTCCCCGTCCCAAAAACAAAGAACCCTCCACCCCCAACCCCACTCTCATTAATCGTATATATCTCGTGCTGCGAGATGGCAGAGGCATTGGCGGACATGATGCCGTGTTTGTCGCTGGTCAGGTACCTATTCCATGAATATCTCATTAGCTGGTCCCATCATCATCCACAAAAATAAAAATAATACTACAGAATATAGAGGGGAAGGGAAAGGGTATGTATGCATACCGTCCATTCGACCCCTTCAAACTCCACCCTTCAATGCCCGCAATCTTACTCGCGATCCAAACCTGTCGCACATCATGCGGTTCCGCGGTCCGAGGATCCCCCTCGATCATGTTTTCCAGCGGAGAGGCGAAGACGGTGCCGTGCGCGTCGGTCGCGAGGCACGTGGGTGGTGTGGTGCGCAGGATGAGGAGAATCGGGCCCGAGATGTCGCTGCTCGTGTCGGCGGATACCCAGGATTGGTCTGAGAGAGTGTTTTCGTCGTGGTGTTCGGTGGCAGAGGGGTCTTCTTGTTGGGTTGTGAGGCTGGTGGATGTGGATTGTTTTTTGGATGGGTGGGAGCCATCAGAGGTGGAGGTGGAGGTGTGTTTGCGTTTCTTGGGCTTGTCGCCTTTAAAGGTTAGGGGTTTGACCATTTTCAATGGTGGGGATTGAAATTGGGGGTGTGGTTTAGGTGTGTGTGTTGAGGAGGTGGTATGGAGGTAGGTAAGTTGTGAGGTGATGGATGGATGGGAGAGGAGAGGAGAGCTTGGTGTGGAGAATCTTTCTTATCGATAAGTTGCGCTTGGTTTTATCGGCTGGCGGTTCAACCGGAGTTGAACCTAGCTATAGCTATAACTAGCTACTGTACTAGCTAGTTAATGCAATTATTTCATTTAATCTTACGTCTATTCTGACCTCAAGGTCCTCGTTATCCTGGTTTGGTTTAAATACAGTCCTGGTGGAGATCTACGTCAGAATGACTCCCCGGGTACTCACTCCATATATATATACCTTGTGAACCCACATTAATAGTACCAACTGGAATGTCATTTAAAACTTACTACTACTCCTAACATCATCTGCAAGAAGTACAGCTTCATATCAAACATAACTCATTACTATATACACCTAGTGACCAGCACTAACTTAATCGAAAGTAATCGCCGCCTTAATGGCCGTCTTGTTCTTCATCGCCGCCAGACACTCCTCCCACTGATCAATCTTGAACGTCTTGTTGACGATGCCCTTGACCTTGACCTTGCCGGAGTCGAGGTAGTCAATCGCCGCAGGGAACTTGTACACTTCAGAGAAGCTACCCAGGATGGTAATCTCATCACCAACTATCATCACCATCATCAGTACCACGTCCACCTCACGACTTAAGAGGAATAGAGGGATACTCACAGATCTTGCTAGGAGGCCAAGACACGCGGTCCTTGTTGGAATAAACACCATATACCACCAGCTTTCCACCTCTGCGGACATAGTTGATCGAGTCCTCCAGGATCTTAACACTACCCGTGGCCTCAACAACAATGTCAAACCCATAGGGGTTCTCCTCCTTCAGCTTCTGGAATTGCGCGCTAGGATCCTGTCGCGACAGCGCAACATACTCGTCACCTGCCTCCAGCGACTTGGCCAGATCCATCTTCAATCCCTCAGGAGCAACAACCACCACGCGGCAGCCACCGCATTGGCGGAGCAACTGAGCCAGGATCTACGCATTCATCGTTAGCGCCACTTCATTACCTTTTCAACCAGATCAAAGTGGGAGAGGAACATACCAAACCAGTCGGCCCAGCTCCAAACAACAACACCGACGACCCCATCTTGGGCGCAATCTTATCCAAACCATGCGCGGCACAGCTGGCCGGCTCCAACAACGTGGCATCCACATCCGAGAGGTTCTTGATCTTGAATACCCTGCCAGCAGGGTATGCGCAATACTCAGCAAAGCCACCGTTCATGGTGACGCCGTGAGCCTCGAAGTGTTCGCAGAACAGCTCATCGCCGCGACGGCAATAGAAGCACTCGCCGCAGAGCTCGGAGTTGTCAGCGACGACGCGGTCACCGATGTTGAAGCCCTTGACTTTGGGGCCGACGGCGGCGACGACACCGACGGTTTCGTGACCGGGTACGAGGGGGAACTATTCAACAAATTCTTGTGAGTGGGTTGCGAGAGGGGGTGTGGGAGGGTTGGGGGGGGGTTATGGTACCTTTGCGATGAATTCACCCTCGTGGATATGCAGATCGGTTCCGCAGACACCGCAGGCCTTGACTTTGATCTGTGAGGGAAAAGGGAGAATTGTTAGAGGTATATGGTATGTATATGTATGGAAGAGGAGGGAAGGACATACCAGGACATCGTTGTCACGGAGCTCAGGCAACGGGACCTCGGCGATGCTGTGCGACTCTGGCTTGTCATAGCTGGTACCTGTGTTAGCCACATCCCGACTAACTATTTAGACACGGGGACAAGATGCATACCGAAGAGCCTTCATAGTCTGAGGAAGCGTGGAACCCATGATGATAATGATAATCTACTACAGGGGACCGACACTGTCAGCAAAGAACCAACAAAACCCCAAGCAAGAATCTCAGAAAGAGACGAGAAAAAACATACAGAATATCAACGAAGAAGAATAAGAGGAACAGCGAAATGGGAGAGAAGAGTAAGTATGGAAGAGTGAGTTATGAATAAAAGATAAAAGATGAAGACGAGAAAGAAGAAGAAGGAGGAGGGAAAGACGAGGCTATTTGAATGGCAGCCACTCGAGGGGTAGAAATACCAAAATTAACTAACTCATATTATTCTATACCAGGATCCCAAACCAGGAATAACTAACTTCCTTACCATACTACGTAAGGGAAAAAATCGGACTAATCCCCAGTGGGGATGGCCTGATGTGGTGGTTGTTGTCGTTCTCCTTCTCCGGGGATCTGTCCTCCTAGGGCTTCACCACTTACTACTACGACGGGAGACAATGGGACCAATTCCATTCCCTTCCATTCCGTCTATGAAACACTTCATGCACTCAACCCATAGGGTAATAGCACTACTATCACCCTTGTACGTGACCCCCCTCCCACCACCCCCCAACCTAACAAACTTACTTTCTATCCAGTCACAACTGACTATTCCTACTACTAAGTAGTACTAAGGTAAAGCAAAGACACAGTGAGACAGACACAAGCCATGAATGATCCCCCGCAATTGCCATCGACACCACTACCAACAACAACAACAACAACAACCACTACGGAGTCCAAGTCCAGGACCCAGACTGGAAGCTAGTAACTAGCTACCTTACAAGTGGGTCCATAAATCGAACCCAAGAGAATCAGAACCAGAAACCAACCCAGCAACCCAAACCTATGACTTCATCACAGAAACCGCCAGAACCTCTCTATTCTACAACGAGTTAAGGGCGACACAAGGAAACAAAAAGAAAAAAGAAAAAAAAGGGCGCTTAGTCTACCCCCACAAGCCTAGGTAACTAACTAAACTACTTACGATCCGCATGACTTCATTCCCCCCCCACCCACTTCATCGTGGTATCTTCCCGAGTGGCCTTGATTTCCGACTCTAGAGTCTAGAGAGACTGGATTGAGATCTGGGCCAGGAACCACCACCATCTATCTCTCTGTATCCATTTTACAGAGAGATAGATGGTGGTGGTTCCTGATGGTGTTTCTGTTCTACTACTATTGAGGAATGGAATCAATGAGTGACTTCATATCGAGGGGTATGAAATTCCCTTCTGACACCGACGATCGCTCCTCGAGTTGTTGCTCTTCTTCTCTTCCAGCGCGAAACAAAAACAAACTCACCGCTGCCCCACTCGCTACGGCACGACTAGCGCTGTTTCTCATGCATGCACCTCCTCTCTCTCTGTGTCTCTCTCTCTGACCAAGTTCGAGAGGAGGCACTAACACTAGACTGTCTCCTGTCTACTCCGTACTGCCTCCTGCCTCCTGCATCATTCGAGTAATTACCGCTTTCATTTGGTCGCCCAACGATCTATCCACATCGGGACCCTCTCTAACTGATCTTCGGGCAACTGCTATGTACATCACTCTCTCTCTCGGTCCGATTCCCCTTGGCTATGGCCCGACACTGTACCGTCTCCTCCCGGTCCGACTGGCTTTGCTAACTCAACTTACGTGGCTGCCGTCTCATGACCGCCGCCGACAGCTCGTATCGGTGCCTTGTCAACCGTACACCGCGGATGCATCTTGTCTTCCCCCGCAGGCCATCAACCCGGTTCAGCCCCGTCTACCAAATGTACCCCGGACGAATCTCACCACCCCCAAAACCTCGTACAAGAATTGAAATAAGAAAACGCCCCAATACTCAAAATGAAAACTAGTGCTAATGCTGTTAATGCCCGATGCCCCGAATGATGTCCCAGACGCCAGTGCCAAGGCTCGCAATTAAGGGAGTCCTGCTCCCGTCTCTACTTCAGCCCGAACCCCTCGCTATTCAACACCGCATCCCAAAGCATGCGCTCCAATTTCTCCCGCGTCTCATATTTATACAGTCCTAGCTGGTTGAAACACGTCCGCGCCGTTGGGAATCGGCTTGTCTCGTCCCCAAGACACACCAGCCGGATCGACAGGCTCGTCGCCCCCATAGCGGGGATGCGGTCGCTTCCCGTCACAAACGACAGGATCTTCCGTTGCGCCTGCGGCTGTGTCTGTTCGAAGAAATCCCAGAACCACCGGACCACCGGCTCTGTCTCTGGCCGTGCATTGGACCAGTTGTCATACGTGGCAACCGCCCGCAGGGACGCCACGTCCAGCGGCTCGTCCGAACCGCGCACCAGTAGCTCGATCTCTTCCGGACGAAACAAAGAGAGTGCATTGCCGCCGCAGACCGTGAAGAACCCCCGTTTGAACGGCTCGAACTGCCGTGTGACCGCCGTGTCTAGGAGAAAGTGTACATACAGGTCCACGAACTCCCGGCGGTTCGCATTGGTCACCGGCCGATTCTCCCCTCCAGCGCAAAGGGGTACCGACACTGTTTCGCCGTAACGATCAACCTGCGCAACAAAGTCGTAGCAGAACGTCTCCGCAACGTCCCCTTCGTAGTCAAGCAGCGCCCGTAGACCCTTGGCAAGCGCCGGGCGGAGCTCCGCCAGATCATCCAGGCCGCACTTGTACGTAGGCCGCGTAATTGACGACAGCGGTGCCGCAGCCAGGAGCTTCTTGAAGGCAAACGGTGGCAGTGCAATGTCGAGGATGGTCGAATTGTAAATGGCCAGCCCCAGCAGGACGCCGACCAGGAAGAACTGCTCCGAGGACTCGAAACAGTATGGATTGAAATAACAGTATCGCGAGTCGTCATCATAGATAAATAGCCCTATAAGAAAAATCAATTAAGTGGCTCATTGCATGTTTTGGCTGACAGTAAACGTGTACTTACCGTGGTGAGGATCAAAGACTTCCCGGACAAGGAGCAGGAACCATTCCTTGCGGAGACCTCCCGCATCAACGCCCTCTTCACCGAGGAATTCGATGCGTAGTCCCTTCTTGATCTCCTCCTGGCTAGAGCCAACGACTTCACTGACTCCCCGCAGACTGTCTTCCACCAAGCAGTCGCGGCGCACCTTCAGCACAAGATACTGGCTGATCGCCGTGCGACTCATGATGCTGTTAAAGAACGCTTCGCGAGCTTTGACCTCCATCTGCCGGCGTGCATCGTGTTCCAGGATATGGATCTTGGCCCAGATGCTCAGGAAGAAAGGGTATTGGCAGAAGGAGAACTTGGTCGTCTTCGACTCCCAGGCCTCAAAGTCGGCGACAAGGTCGGAATAGTCTAGCAGTGTATTGTAAAAGGAACTGATCGGAATCATATGCCCCCGCCGGCTGGCCTGACTTCTAGCCACAGAACTCGCATCTTGGCCAAGGATGCCGTCCGGCTTTCGGGAAACGTTCGCATTGTTCGCCGTGAAGAGCAGAGACATCACTCGCGCCGCAGCTCGCACCTGCCAGTCATCAGTGTAGACCACGGGCTGGTCGCGCTGCTCATTTGCTTTGTTGGGGCTTCTGCCATTGATCGCCGCATGCAGCTCGGCCGGAGTATGGCCCGCGGCACTAGAGAAGCTGGGCACCAAGTCATCATCGTGCTGAGTCGACTCGCTGCGCTTCCTCCCATGTTGACGCATTAACCGATGAGTAACAAACCCCCCAACAAGGTCCACGATCTTCTCAAATTGCCCGGCTGAGAACCGCGAGAACCAGGACACCAAGTAGTGATGGCAGTCATTCGGTAAATTGGCCAAAAGCCCCAATATCCGCTTGACAATGCCATAATGATGCCCCGGGCCATTGCTGCGGGATTTTGATGGGGGCTTCGGATTCCGAGGAGCTGGTCTTGGAGTGCCATCTTTCGGGTGCGAGGGCCTCCGGTCACCACGGGCCGCCGAAGGCGCCAGACTGTAAGATGCGAACGATGAACTGGATGGGTAAATCAACGGGTTCGTCAGTAGCATCAGTAGGAACCTGGTATCCTCGGGCCTCTTTAATGGCCGCCTGGGCCGTTTTAGCAGGTTCTCGGTCGCCTTCAAGAGCGTTCGGTGTAAATGTAAGCGCGACTCTGTAATCTCTCTGTCAACCATAGCAAGGTCGGTGGTAGTCCACTTTTGGGCTATAACGGCGTCTTCTTCCCTCTTCATCTCTGTAGGCTTCATTGTTGACCACAGCTCCACCCATGAAGTTCCCGCCGTCATGATCAGGTGGTGCCACTGTGCAAGTTCTGCCCAATTAATCCGAGGGCTCCTAGAAGAAACAGGCCTAGATGAACTAGAGGTCTTCTCCCGGCGCTCTTTCGAGCGGGACCGATGAGAGCTACTGATCTGTTCTACTTCGTTCATCCACCAGGAGGAATTCTCTGCAATGTCTCCAAGAAGCAGTAGCTTCGGATCGGGTTCAAATGTTACCTCACTGGGGGCCTGAGCAGAGCTTGGTTCCGCTTTCTGCTTTGGTGGGCTGCTGTTAACAGCATTCCGCGGGGCCGGCTGTGCTGTGGTAAAGGAGCTGTTCAGACAGTCACAGCCTTTGAATGACGTGATGATATATTCCTCAAGCGATCTGAAGATGTACGGACGACTAGTAGGACCTCTAGCTTCTGGACCGTTTGATCTGGCAGCATTCCGAGGCGAGCGATCACGTCTCGGGGCGTTTTGAGCGTCTCTGGTCCTCATCTCGGAGCCCTTTCTCTCTCCGTGCGCAAAGGAAGGAGCCAAGTTGGGCTTCGAGTAGTTCGGTACGCCGCTTACTCCCTCCGTTTTGCCAGTCTTACTGGATGTAGAGGAACTGCGGCCCCGGGGATCCACCAAAGGTCGCGGTTCAGACAAGTACCCGGACGACTGAGTTGGAGACTGTGATAAATTCTCATCCTGCGCGACATCCAAGTACTTTCCGCTATGATTCTCTGGTGTAGAATTGGGCTGCTGAGGTTCCAGGAGCTGTCGGAGATACCTGGAAAGACAATCATCTAGGATCGTTTTTGTTCGCTCGATAGAAAGCGGCATAGCTAAACACAGTCAGTTCACTATTTGTCCCGTATACGGGCCTAGCGGGGATAATCTATACCTTTACGGGGCACCGTAGGGGTGGGTGCCTTTCCATCACTCCCCGAAAGGCCATTACCGCCAGCCTTGCCAGAATCCACAAACAGCTCCAAGTCATTCACAGTCAAACATTCCGTGCACCGGAAAACTTTGAGATTCCGCGGCCAGCGCACTGTACTGTTACAAACCATGCACTTTCCCGAGGTCATCTCATCAGATGGAGTCGGACGCGCGGCCCCTTTACGAGGACTAGACGAGTTCGGGTCCGGCAAGTAGGTAACCTCATCGTCATCCTCATCATCGGAATCGAACAAAAAGTTATCCTTCTTCGAGATCGACCGATTGCGCCGCTTCGTCATACCGCCGAAGGGTGAGGGGAACGGATGGCTGACGGAACGAGAATGTCCCCGACGATGGGGGGGTGAAGTCGCCGGATTTCCAGTCATGGACGATAGACCTGAACCATCTTGCGGTATCCGATGAGGCGAGTTTCCTTCTGCCGGGAAGGGAATTGCAGCCGAACGGATATGACTAGACGGGGAGCCGGAGGTCGGGGGATAGGATGGGTTATATGGGGTCCGAGACGGCATATGGGCACATTTGCTGTCCCCAGCTTTCGGTAATTCGAGGGGATTTAGTTTTTGAAGTTGTGTCTGGTTGTGCCACGCGAATTGGGGGGAGTGGTAAGAGGCGAAGAAAAGTGTATAGATCTCAGGGTACGGTCTGCGATAAGCAGGGGTAGATAGGGCTTCGTTGTTCGTGGACGATAAGTAAATCCCGGTTCAGTGTCACGAGGCAAGTTTTCTGCTAGAGGAGTTCGTGGCAAGGAGATTTGTTTAAGTCGAGACCGTTTTAACAGGAAGAAAGAAAGAGCGTGTAGCTAATTGTAGAAACAGCTGATGAGTAAGGTATCGAGGGGAGTTTCGGGGGTAGTAGTATGTAACGTGAGGAGAGGAGGGGGATGTAACGTGGAGCTTGGTCGAGGACGAGGAAATGGAGAGCGCCCCTGGAACAAAAGCGGAAAGAAGTCAAACAGGGGATGAATTAGAAGGGAAAGACGTCAGGGCAAGGGAGATGAGAAAAACGAGGGATGGAGCAAGAAATGAGTCCTGGTAAGGAAGTGGGTTTGACTTCCCACCTTTGAGGAGGAGGGGGGGAAGTTACCCAGTTTAGCCCGGCGGATGCGCAAGCTGCGATGGGCGCACGAGACTTGGCTGCCTGAGGCCGGCTAGCATAGCTGCATAGGCGCTGACTGGACGAACCACGGGCCTTGAACTGTGTGGGCTTCAAGGCAACGTCGGGCGCCGGTCGGGGTTTCACTGGCCTTTGGGACAAACGCCAACGCTACTATTTTTATTCTTCTTGGGCTCCATCCTACTGGTTTGCAACCAGCGACACTGGTCGACTGGGGTCTAAGACTCTTGCTGCCAGGTGGACTTGGAGGTCCTGCAATACAGAGCCATACATCACCACTCAACAACAGTGTCCCTCCTAGCCCCCCGCAGGTTCCCAGACAGGGTTATAGTGCAGTCACAGCGTCGCGCCGTCCCTTTCCAACTCAATCGCATGCCAAGGCACCAGGCACTGATCGGCAGAAGCAAAAAACCGGTCTACATGGATCAGTCCACCTCATACCCTTAGCTACGCCCTACGTGCTGCAGATCGTTGAACAAAGGTAAAAGTGGTCGTCATACTTCGTTAAGGTGAACAATACAGTTGAAACCGAGAAAAGTGAAAAAAGGTATTTTGGCTAACATCCGATCCAGAAGATCTGTTGCATTATGCTCGCACCCCAGCAGTTCCAGAACGGCACCGTAGATGCGAGTTTTGATCGAAATAGTGACATCCACAGGATCAAATTTTTCCCATAACCAACAACCCCCATAAACACCCCATCTACATTTAACGGTAACGCCAGTAGCTCTGGGTGTTCTGGCGCTTCCAGGTGTGGCGGCGACCAGAGCGGGTGTTGTTGTAGCGGTGGCCCTTGTTGATACCACGGGACTTCTTGCCGGTGGCGGTAAGACCACGGGCCTCGCGGTGCTATAAAACGCATTCAAGGTCAGTAAAATGTAATTAAGGGGAGCTTCCCAAGAGCAGTCATAACGTACCTTGTGGACCGCGTTGCAGATCCAGTTGATGCGAGCATCGCGGCGGATGGCCTTGTGCTGGGGGTCGACGAGGATGACCTCGAAGTACTTGTAGGTGGAGTCCTGGTTGATCCAGTAGGAGTTCAGGACACGCAGGTTGGCGCAGCGACGGCCAACACGCTCCTCAGCGGTAGCACGGAGAGCGCGCTGGTACTTGAGCTGGTTGATACCCATGTTGGTGGGCTTGCCTGTAGTCGCAAACGAATTAGCCTCAATCCGACTCCAATCGATCCAGAACATAGAATATACATACCGTAGGTGGCACCCTTAGGAGCGGGTCTCTTACGACCACCGCGTCTCACACGGATACGGTAGACAACATAGCCCTGCTTGGCCTTGTAGCCGAGACGACGAGCCTTGTCGGGGCGAGAGGGGCGGGAAGCACGGTGGATAGCGTTCAGTTGACGGAGCTATATTGATGCACTCTCAGCAAAGTTCAACGAGTGTATAGCAAGACACATGAGGCTTTTCTCAAGTCTCTGTTTGTGCCACATCCATCCGCCGGCGAAGGGAAAAAAGTTCGTTTCGAGCCGCCCAGTAACACCAATTCTCTATTCAAGAAGGGCATCCTATGGCAAACTACACGAGCACCCGGCGGGATGTTAAGTGATCGCAATATAGGGGGGAATTCTCACCTCCCAGCAACGGACACGCAGCAGGAAGCGAATCACGTCGGACTGCTTCTTCTTCTGGATCTCTTCCACGTACTTGAGGGCACCCATCTGGACGAAAATCGGAATATCAGTCTCTCGTGCTCAATTTTCTTTTTCTTGATGGCTGCAGAGCGATTCGTTTTATCGCAGCAGGAATCACAGCGAAAGGGCGCGATAAAACGTACCTTGTCGGCGTGGCAGGTCGTCGATTGTCGTCGGTTGTCACAGCTGAAAAGTTGGAGGAGCAAAGATAGTAGTCTCTTCAACGACCTTGTGTGTGGGACGCTAGAGAATTAGGCGAGCCCCCACTCTAACCAATCAACGTCCGCACTATGTCTGAGGTATTAGGGCATACCGCCTGCCCTATTACTACTAGCCTTTTTTTTCTACGCTTTTTGCGACCGTAAGGCGACAAGGCAACCACTTCAGACACTCATCCTTGCTGTTAGACCTCAGCAACTTACGATAGACCCATTCCTCTTCTTACGTGATACCATAGGCATTGAAAATGAAAGACATAAATGTTGTACCCTTTCTAATAATCATAAGCTACCTTCATCTGGCTCATGCACCGCCCAGAAACAAACGAGATTGATTCTATCGTTAAGGACCCATCAATGAGAGTTGAAATTGGCATGCTCGCGTGAAAGTAAACAGCAACGAGCCTTAACCCCATCTTGACAAGCCTATATATGGAGACTTCACAGCCACGCAGATGGTAAATATAGGGTCAGTTTGGCAATAACATAATACACAATTAGCAAGTAGGAGACAATAGAAGAAAACCGATCCATTTAATTGGCAATGATCTGATGGCTTGCAGCATAGCCCGAGACGGACATGCTCAAGCCTCTAGACCATCAAAGCCGAAGTCTATGATTAAGTATCAGCACTAACGACAGGTCATGAGTCTTTCCTTTTGATCCGTTGCACATGATTTCTAATCTCTTGTAGGAAACACATTAGAAAAGAGAGATGTAGTGATGGTGTAAAAGAGCGAAGTCAGCGAGTAAACGACAAGAAAAGTGAAATCTGAATACATGAAAGCGGAGCGGGTGGTCCCTCTTTAGGGTTTGGGAGACAGGAGGATAATTTTGCATAGGTGGCGGAAGAAGACGATAGAAAGAAAAGCTGCTTTCGATGTACAGCGGTATTGAGTCAATTTGTACAGAGAAATCGCATGGTATTCCTCAGGAATTCAGGGACAAGCCCTGGAAACGGTTGTTTATCCATTCGCTGGGGGCAGCATGTAGGCGGGAGGGTCCAGAGCTTGCGCCCGCACCTGCGCCGTAATCAACGTATCCCGATTCCAAAGAGCCATAGTTGTTCGCCGAGTAGGGTGAAAAAGGATCCACAGCAGCGAGTCCACCTAGCTCTGTTTGGCGAGAGGTTGGGCTGAACGGCTGATAGGAGTCGGCATAAGCATTGCGCAATATCCCCATCTGGTTGGCGCCGATGTCTCGTCCTGTGCCCATGGCGTCACGAGGATGACCGTAGATTCGGCCGTCAAGAGGGCGATCCGCTTGCGCATCGTGGTTGTAAGCTAGAGGGTTTGGAGCTGACAAGCCAGCACTGGGGGGCGTCACAAATGACGCTGGATTGATAGCCGACATCCAGATGCGGGTCTTATAGATTTTGAAAAGATCGGTAACAAGCGAATTGAAATTGATGTAGGAGTCCGCAAAGTAATAGAAGGTGAGCTTCTTCCAGTCCCTAGTGAAAAAGTCCTGTTTAGCATGTGATTGACTGTGCCGAACGACACAAGTGAACTTACATTTGGAATTCGGCATCAAGGATTTCCATATTCAGCCGATGCTCGGTAACCTTCTGCTGGCAGACCCGCTTTGCCTTCGCTTCATTTCCTTCCTTTTCACGTAGAGTTAAGATTTCATGATTCTGGGCAAGCCTCTTGATTAGTTTAGGCTTGATGTCGGCAGCAGAGTCCTGCATCCCATGCGGACCATGTGGACCCATGCCGCCAATGGCGCTTCTGTTATTCAAGCCGGGTACACCACTAGAAGCATTGACCACATTCACGGCCCCATTCTGGCCCTGTCTAGAGAACATCATCAAGCACTTGTAGTGTTCCTCGGCATACTGCTGTTTTAGCTCCCGGGCTCTTTGCATAGACACGTTAGCGTGCTGTATAGTGCCAAGGTCCGTACCGCGGTCGGCTTCGACGATAACGAGGTCACCGGGCTTCACCTGGAGACCAGTATCTTCCTGGATATAGAAGACATCCGCCCGATGGCATTTGAATGTAACGATATACAGGAGCTGGTTTTGGTGCGAATGGGCGAGGCCAGGCTGGTGGCGGCCGTAGGCGTTTGGCATCGTGTATGCCTGGTGGAGGGACGTGGCCATCGAAGCGGGGCCGTCGGCGGCGCGGAGAACTGGGTCGCGAGCAAAATAGGCTTCTGCAAATCGACGAGCTCGTAAATACTCCGTCTCCATTTCATGTTCCTCGGGACGAGGGGCCACATGAAAACGAGGATACTCACGATTCTGGCCTTGAACATTCGAAAGAGGGCCGTCAACAATGCTCGCATAGTCCTCTTCTCTATCACTCATTCCAGCCCTAGTACTGGGGGCTGCCTGGGTCTCCCCTGAGACAGAAGCGTGTCGCATAGGAATGTCCGCAAAGGAGTGACGTCGACTCTGAGGGATATCCGCAATGCTACCAAAGTCAAGAGAAGTTTGCCAATGAGCCTTGCGGACGTTTTCCAGAGTTCGGTTTTGGAACGACGTGTAAGGGGGGAGCTGCTTCTCGAGGTTTGCTGAATGCTCGGAGAGTCTTCTCCGACCGCTACTATGGATGTTATTGTAACCAGGGATATCGCCAACCTCGTCAAGATCTTCTACCGCCAGGTCGGTCTCCTCGGGAACACTGCCGCGAATACGGTGCAAATTATGGATGCCACTTCCGATGGCATATCCGCTAGCTGCGGATGCAGACGACATGGTACGATCTCTCATTGGGTTGTCCATCTGTCCTGCTGCTTGGCG